TTATTTATTTATTTTTGGTGGAACCGGGGATTGAACTCAGGCCCTTGTGCTTGCCAGGGAAGCACTTATTCTACTGAGCCATCTCCCCAGCCCATTTGAGTAATTTATTTTTTTATTTTTTTGGCAAAACCAGGCATCAAACTCAGGCCCTTGTGCTTGCCAGGGAAGTGCTTATTCTACTGATCCATCTCCCCAGTCCCATTTGAGCAATTTAGAGCCTTTCACAAAATATAAAACAAAAGAGAATGTGGTTCAGTGCCAAGGCCCTGTGCTCAATCCCCAGTATCTAAAAAATAAATTAAGCATTTATTTATTTATTTATTTTGGAACTGGGGATTGAACTCAGGCCCTTGCACTTGCCAGGGACACGCTTATTCCACTGAGCCATCTACCCAGCCCCTAAATTAAACATTTTTAAAAATATTAAAAACAAATCACTTCCCTGGCAAGCACAAGGGTCTGAGTTCAATCCCCGGTTCTGCAAAAAAAAAAAAAGATTAAAAACAAACACTAAACTAAAATCCTTCAGTAATTCCAGAGTTGCTAGGCCCCTGGAAGTAAAGGATGAGACCTTATTTTTCTGCCATTTTCTCAAAGTAAGGAATTTTGGCAATGTTTGTCCATTTGGAACCTAGTAATAAACTGATAGGTTCTGGCCCTAGTATAAATTGCTAAATCACCATGGTGACCATCTAATATGGCTGCAGCCCTTAAAACAGAAGCCTGTCTTCTCCAAGACCACCTCCCCGCTTCTTCTCCAACTCAGCTCAGGCTACAGCTTCCTTTCACCCTTCCCGGCACCTCTGTGAATACCTGTAATCAGTTTCTCAGGTCTATCTAAACATCCCCTTTATGGCCAAGGCCATAAAAGCCTCAGCCTCCCCTTGTTCCAATGGAGGGAATCCCTCATCTTCCCCACATTCTCTCAGTGTCCTCCAAGATAATAGGCCCCCTTCCCTTTTCCCTCTGCCTGTTTCTCTGCTGCGCCCAGTGCCTGAAAAATCTATCATAAACAAGCTCTTCCTGTAAAAAGCCAGACAATACACAGCTTAGGCCTGCATTGTCTCTGTCTGTGGTGTGTGTTTCGTTTCTTAACCACTCTAAAAATGTAATCAGCCAGGCTTGGTGATACACACCTGTAATCATAACACTTTGGGAGGCTGAGACAGGGGAATCTCTGTGAGTTGGAGGCCAGATTGGGCTACACAGTGAGTTCAAGGCACTGTCTCAAAAAAAATTAAAAAGCCAAGTTCAAGCCCAGCCTAAATACTTTAATGAAGTTGCAGGCACATGGCCAGCACTGAAGAGCTTTACAAAAAAACCTGCTAGGGGCCTTGTACACCAACCCACCCTACTCCACTCCTGAGAAAGAACAAGATTCTTTCCTGTGCTCCCGTGGTTCTAAGAAGCAGCTCCAGGACATATGTTTCACTTAGGTCAGGGGTGGCAAACCTATGGCAAGTCTGTCACAGCTGGTTAGTTGTTTCATTGAAAGCTCTAAAAGGTCCCCAGTCACTGCCCTGAGACCTAGGGCCTAGGACAACAGCCTGTATGTTTCAGTTTGGCTCCAGCTGGTTGCACAAAAGTAGGTGGGCTGTGCAGATGAAAGGCTAGCCGGGCATAGTGGGGGTACCTGTAGTCTCACTGCTCTGGGAGGCTGGGGCGGGCCAGGGGGATCACCAATGCCCAGCAACCTGGGCGAGTTAGCCAGACTGGCTCAAAAGAAAACAACATAAAATACTGGGAATGTAGTTCAAACTGGAGGCCCTGGCTTCAATCCACTGTGCAGCAAAACAAAGAAATAGATGAATAAATAATAAATAGCTCACTTAAGATAACAACAGCATGGGCTGGGGAGATGGCTCAGTGGAATAAGTGCTTCCCTGGCAAGCGCAAGGACCTGAGTTCAATCCCTGGTTCCACAAAAAAAAAAAAAAAAGATAACAATAGCCACCACTTTTTTTTTTTTTTAATGTTTGTGTGTGTGTGTGTGTGTGTGTGTGTGGCCAGCTCAGCCCACCAGGGGGCGGGCTGGCTGGCATGTGGTGCTGGGGGATTGAACCGCGGTCCCTGTGCTTTGCTAAGCTTGTTCTAAGTAGGTGCTTTAGACCACTGAGCCATCTCACCAGCCCACCACTGCTTATTTTGATCCAGGTTCAATGTTAAGAGTTTGGGGGCTGGGGAGATAGCTCAGTACAACAAGCTCCTACCTGGCAAGTGCAGGGTCCTGAGTTCAATCCCTGGTATCACAAAAATCAAAAAGAATTTGGGCTGGGGAGATAGCTCAGTGATATAAAGTGCCTGCCTGGCAAGCACAGGGCCCTGAGTTTGATCCCTGGTACTGCAAAGATAAAATTAAAATAAATAATATTTTTTTAAAGGGCCAGAGAGATAGCTCAGAATAAGTGTCTGCCTGGCAAGTGCAAGGGCCTGAGTTCAATCCCCAGTTCTGCCAAAAAAAAAAAAAGGAAAAAAAAACAACACAGCATCCCTTCCCAGAGACCACCTCCCCTCTTCGTCTCCAGCCCTGTCCAGGGTGCAATTTCCTTTCACCTTTCAGGCAGCCACATGAAGACCCCCAATCAGTTCCTCAGATATTTCTAACCACCTGCCTCAAACTCCAGCCCTAGCAGAAGTCCAGAAAAGTCTCAGCTTTCTGTCTCAGGCCAGAGGATCTTTATGCCCCACCTGCCCTCAGTCCTCTCCAAGTCTTTGGAGTTAATAAAGGTTTATTTCATCTTTCCTATTTCCTTACAGCACTTCCAAAAAACCTATCAGTTTAGGCTGGCTTCAGGGCTGGGGAGATGGCTCAGTGGAACAAGCATTTGCCTGGCAAGCACAAAGACCTGAGTTCAATCCCTGGTTCTGCCAAAAAAAAAAAAAAAAAAAAAAAAAAAATTTAGGCTGGCCTCAAACTCGTGATCTTCCTGCCTTGGTCTCCTTAGTGCTGGGATTATAGGTGTGTGTCATCATGTCCAGCCCTGGGCTTCTTATTTTTGAGGCAGAGTTTGGATTTACTGCCCAGATTGGCCTCAAATTTATTCTCCTCCTTCCTCAGCCTATCACAGTGCTGGGATTTCAGGAAAGCATTACCTCACCTGATGGTATGGTACTGAGTCTGTCCCCAGGGAGTAAATAACACAGTTACTAGCAGCTTCAAAATGGTAAATTCTTGCTTTTGGCTGATGAACTTTCCGAAGTCTTTAGCGTCTATAACCTCAGGATACAGTAATGACCCAGATACACGAGCCCATAAATTAGAAAATGGAAGCAGCCCTTTCCTTATTTCAAGTTTATGGCTGTGTGTATATAATTTTTGTTAGATTTTTCAGTGCAGTGAAGAGACAGGAAAGATAAGAGGCCTTTATTGACTCTGAAGACTTAGTGAGACCCTGTCATAAAATAGAAATTTTATTTTTACACTTAAAAAAAATTTTATGTATTTATTTGATACAGGGTCTTGCTATGCAGCTCAGACTGGTAGTGGTCCTCCTGTCTCAGCGTCCCCAGTGCTGGGATTACAGGTGTGCACCACCATGCCTGGTTTCGGTGGCTGGCACACCCAGGGTTCTGGGGCCAACACTGGGCTATCTCCCCAGCCCTTAAAATACAAATCTTATTTTTATTTTATTTTACTTATTTTTTTGAGACAGGGTCTCACTATACAGTTCAGGGCTGGCCTTGGGCCCCCAGACTGGTCTCAAACTTGCAGAGATCCTCTTGGCTCAACCTCCGGAGTGCTGGGATTACGGGAGTGTCACCAGTCCAGCCTCTAAAACACTATTTTACAGGGTCTCACTACACAGACAGGACTCAATCACCGGCTCAACGCGCCCAGGGGGGCGGGCACGGCAGGGCACGGCAGGGCACGGCTGGGCACAACCCCAGCCACTGCGCTCAGCCTACGCAGGCGCTTTTGCTTTGCGTTGAGCTACGCGGCCGGCTCTAAAATACACATTTTAAAAGGCCTCCTGTGGGTGTAGCTCAGCGGGAAGGCCTGGCTCAATCCGCCGTACCTGAAAACACAACACAGGAATGACACCTCTCCCACTGTTTGTCAAAATCCTGTGCGATTCTCCGCATAAAAGGCAGTGTGCACTGCAGAATCAAGTAGTAAATGCTCAGTAAACACTGCTTTTAGCGTGCTTGAACAGGACCTGAGTTACCTACTGGGGAAACGAGGAGCAACCACTGGTATTTCTGTTTGTTTGGTTTGGTTTTAGGGTTTTTGTGGCAGAACCGGGGATTGAACTCAGGTCTTTGCACTTGCCAGGGAAGCGTTTATTCCACTGAGCCATCTCCCCGGCCCCAACCACTGCTATTTCTTAAACTCCGTATACAGCAGCATGGGCCCTAACGCGCCTGGGGGCGCACGCCTGTAACCCGAGGGAGCGGAACGCTGAGCCTGACTGCAGACTGAAGCCCAGACTGGGCTACATGGTGAGTTCAAGGCCCGAACTACAATCCTGTCTCAAAAAGCAACACATTTTTTTCTTTTTTACAAAAGCATAAATCCCATTACTATATGTAAACCAAAGTAAACAATAATGTGAAGGAAATTTGGAGAAGAGCCCACAAGACCACACAGCTTCCCCCCACCGCCCATTCGGCTTTTTAAAAGACAACACACAGTCGAGCACGGAACCAAGATGGAGGACAAGGCGGGTAAAGAAAAGAGTGGGGAGGAGGAGGAACGCATGGGTGGAACCCGGCCTCCCCCGGAAGTCTCTCTAAACGCAGGTCTTTCCGCGCCATTGGCTTGACTCCCACCGACTCTCCATTCCCATTGGCTACCCATTCCGACTCTAGGTCAAAATAGCCAATAGTCTAACACCTCAAGGGAGAGTCCGCCCTGCCGCAGAGGAGGCGGGACCAGAAGACCGACAGTGCCCAGGGCGCTTGCGTGCGCGTGCGCGCTCTAGGCGGATTGGAAGCGGCCGAAGGACGGAGGCGGAGCTGTGGGTATGAATATTCATTACGTACTGCGTCGCGCCGCACCCGCCCCTTTCGGCTGTCGACGCTCGCAGCTCGCGCTCGGGCTCGCGATGGGGAAGAAGTCGCGGGCGGTACCCGGCCGTAGGCCCATCCTGCAGCTCTCTCCGCCGGGTCCCCGCGGCAGCACGCCGGGCCGGGACCCTGAGCCGGACACCGACCCCGAACCCGACACCACGGCGGCCGTCCCTAGCCAGCCCGCCCCGGCCCCAGCGCCAGCGCCGGCGGCGGCGACAGCGCCGGCGGTCACGGTCGCCGCGGCCTCCGACGACTGTGCTTCGGAAGGTGAGGGCGCCCGGAAGCAGCGCGGCCTGGGTCGGGGTGGCGGGCGGGTGCCATGGCCGCCACGGGGCGCGCTGGGAACCCGCGTCCCGGCAGTAGTGAGGTTGGCGTGGTCTCCTGTCTGCTCTCGTCTGCTTCCTTTCAGTTTTGTAAAAGCAGAAAAGTGCTTGGATCAAGCTGGCGCACGCGTGTGAGCCCAGCTACGAGGGAGGCTGAGGCAGGATTGCGGGTTCGAGGCCACTCCGGGCTACAATTGCGTGGAACTCTTATCTCAAAATTTAAAAAAACGCCTGGAGATGTAGCTCAATGCTAAAGCGCCCCTGGATTTCATCTGCAGTAATTTTTTAAACTTAAGCTGTCTTTGTCGTACTAAACAAAGCCATTTTCCCCAAATTTAACACGTGTCCCCAAAACTGATGGAGCATGGCAACCAGTGACTTCCTGACTATTTGCGCTATTCCTGAAATGGGGCGGTCGGGAAAACCATGTTGGAGTAAGAGTGCCTGTGCTACATGCTTGCAGTGCCAGGTGCTGCAACCGTTTCGGTTTCAGAAGTCACCTTAACTGCGGGGCTGACGCAGGGAGATCCCAAGTTCGAGCTCAACCTGAGCGATTTTAGGGAGTCTCAAAATAAGCGAATAAAGTGCGCTGGAGCTTGGGAAATCCGAGATGAAGACAGTGATGTCTGGTGTTGCTGTTCTTTCCCTCCTTTTTTCTTTCTTCTTCTTTTTCTTCTTTTTTTTTTTTTTTCCTTTTTTTTTTTAAGCTAAGGATTGAACCCACAGCTTTCCCACTGAGCTGCGTCCCTGCCCCCTTTTGTATTTTATTTAGAGGTAGCGTCTGAGTAGAAAATCCTGCCTTAACCTCTGAATTCCTCTTTGGAACCTCACTCTTGTTTCTGGGCTTTTTTTTTTTTTTTTTTTTTAATAGATAAAAATCTAGATCTGCAAGGTCAAATCTGAGACCTATCCATCACCCTAGTGTTTTCTCCACCGGGGCCTGACCGCAGCTTTTCTTTTTTTCATCTTTGAAATCTAGATGAGCAGGAAGTGGTGGTGGAGGCGCCCAGAGTTGTTCAGAATCCTCCAAAACCAGTCATGACCACCAGACCCACGGCCGTAAAAGCTACAGGTAGAGTGATCTTTAATTGCTTACCCTTTCTCCGAGGTCTTGTCAGTTCAGAGGCAGCGCCTACATAGCAAGTTTTGTTGAATACTTCGGTGTTCCCAATTTGTGTTTCTCCCACAAAGCGAAGGCTTCTTGGTATAGACACTTCCAGCCATTTGTTGCCTTTTTCTGTACCCAAAATGCTTGTACTGTTGCTTCAAGTGTGTGGAGATCATGGCAGCCTAGAACTTGGTACTATATTTCTCTACAAATAAGCCCCAGGTAAGCCCATCACCTAGATGGGTGCATTTAGTATGTCCGTGTTGACACCCAATGATGGTATTAAGTTACAAAGTAATATAATTATTTGACATCGAATGAATTGACATTAACACTTAAATGATAACGTAAAGTGTGATCACTTGGAAATAGCCGAGCAGGTGTGTTTTGAATGAGAGGTAAAGGCCAGTATATTCAGGTGAATTTGAGGCACTGCCAAACACAGAGCACAGCCACATGCAGTGGTGGGTGCTCTTGCTAACAGACAGGGCTGGTTGTGTCTAACCTGAGTCTTCATAGCTCAGTGTGTCATGTGTGGGAACAGACGTGCAGTACTTAATCACTTTTTTTTTTTTTTTAACATTTATTTAGTGTGTGTGTGTGTGTGGCCAGCTCAGCCCACCAGGGGGCGCGGCTGGCTGGCATGTGGTGCTGGAGGATCGAACCGTGGTCCCTGTGCTTTGCCAAGCTTGTTCCAAGTAGGTGCTTTAGACCACTGAGCCATCTCTCCAGCCCCGTACTTAATCACTTTTGTAAAAGAAACACTTTCTGAATGTCGGTGCCCTCAATTTTTTGTCAGTTTCGTGTGGCCCATTCTTAACTGCCATCAATTTTGTTACCACTCTTGTCTCATAAGTCTTCAGTTAACACTTGATTTCATGGTAGAGTTAAAGGGAATAATATTTTGACCCCCAGACAAGATGAGTGCAAAAAGAAAGAGCTATTCCGTCGAGTACAAGAAGGGCATCGTGGAGGACTCAAGGGGCAAGAATCTTACAGCTTTCTGCAAAGAGAAACAGTTGGATCTCCGCATGGTCCGGAAGTGGCGCTCTGAGTACGAGACCCTGAGTCAGCAGGTGGACGAGGGCAATGCGAAGAAGCGCAAGTGTGGTTCCGGTCGGCAGGCCTCGTTCCCGGATCTGGAAGACATCATCTGCGAATGGATCGCTGACCGGGGCGCCAAGGCTCTGGTTGTGCGCAGGGCTGATATTCAGGCCTTTGCCCTGGCTGTGGCTCCACAGTTAGAAATATCCCCCAATGAATTCAAGGCGTCCCAGCACTGGCTGGATGGTTTCCTTCAGCGGTACCATTTGCTGTGTCTCTAGATGGGCGTCCATTCAAGCCGGAAGATGCTGGAGCTACTGAAGCGCTTGCATTCGAGGCCCTTTGGCTGGCTTAGACTGCCGAAATACCGACTGTTGTGACTCCTGTGGGTGAAGCCATGGGGTTCGTGGGTGAAGGATCTCAAAGGACACAAGATCTTAGGGGCACTTCGCCAGTCTGTGTTCCCCCACTGGGGGTGGAAGCACAGGTGTTATGGTATTTCAGCAATTCACTTGGACAGAAAGAAATTGTCACTTAGGTCACAAAAATGTTTCAGGCATCTGTTCATATAATGTAGGCAAAGGACCACTTCAGCAAGCAGCTGTGAGCATGTGGCCCAGTTGAATGCTGCCACATAATTGGCCAGATGACCAAAGAGGTCCGCAAGTCAAGGATTCAGCTAGCATCACTGTGCTAAAGACAGAAGAACTTGCGAACAGAGAACAGATCCCATAGTGGTTCCTGGGGAATGACCGCCTAGCTCTGTGTGCGTGGAGATCACTGAGGATGGTGAAGACAGCACAGAGAAATCATTTTGGAGCTGTGGGAAGCCCATCCTGTAGGAGGTCGTGATGTGGATGAAGAGCCCATGGGGTGAAGTACTGTCCCTGCCGTGAGCGGGCTATGTGCACGAGGAGACATTTAAGGAGCGCTCTTGCAGGACGGGAGAGACTGGGACACAGCTTCTGTAGGAAATGGAGACCAGAAAGTTCAGGCCAGAATTTGAGGGTTAGAGAGTTACTCTGATGTGTTCTAGAAGATAACGCGACTTTGTTTGAATAAATGTAAATTTCTTTGCATGAATAAATGTACGTTGTTGTGTGTGATTAAAGAGATTGATGTACATTTAAAAAAATTATACCTCTGATGAAAATAAGCCCTACTGCTTCTTTAGGTCAAAAATTTAAGACGTGGTTGGTTGTGGGGTTTTTTTTGGGGGGGGTACGTGGGATCAAACTCAGGACCTTGCACTTGCCAGGCAGGCACTTCTGCCACTGAGCTATCTCCTCTGCCAAGACCTTACTTTGCAGGAAATATGGTATGTAGCCCAGCCTAGCCTAAGACCTGGGATTCTGCTCTGGCCTTAAGAATGCTGGGTTTACAGGCATGGGCCACCACTCTCAGCTCCTCCTAGTGTTACTTTGTGACTTAACTTCCTGGTTGTCCTACAGGGAGTATTGGTTTTGTTTTCTAACAGTCTGTCTTGGTGGGTATCTGGTGTATATTTGGCCCTGGAAGTTGATTGTGTAAATCTTTATTAGCACTATTTGCAACAGTGGCTTTGTAGTTAAACTTAGGTTCCGATAATCACTGTAGCTTGGGGTGGAGAGATAGCTCAGTGGTCTAAAGCACCTGCTCAGACAAGCTTAGGCAAAGCACAGGGACCACGGTTCGATTTCCAGCACCACATGCCGCGGAAGTGCACCGCTAGAGTGGGCTGAGCTGGCCCCAAAATAAATAAATAAATTTTTTTAAAAAAATCACTGTACCTTTTGTTGTAGGACTTCAGTACCATTATGGATCAGGCTGAAGCTCTTTTTTTTTTGTGTGTGTGTGTGTGTGTGTGTGTGTGTGGCCAGCTCAGCCCACCAGGGGGCAGGGCTGGCTGGCATATGGTGCTGGGGGATTGAACCGCGGTCCCTTGTGCTTTGCTATGCTTGTTCTAAGTAGGTGCTTTATTTATTTATTTATTTTAAATTTTATTTATTTATTTGTGTGTGTGTGTGTGTGTGTGTGGCCAGCTTAGCCCACCAGGGGGTGGGCTGGCTGGCACGTGGTGGCTGGGGGATTGAACTGTGGTCCCTGGGCTTTGCTAAGCTTGTTCTAAGTAGGTGCTTTAGACCACTGAGCCATCTCACCAGCCCCCTAAGTAGGTGCTTTAGACCACTGAGCCATCTCACCAGCCCCTGAATGAAGCTCATTTTAAATGTCTGTTGAAACAGATTTTATAGCCCTGAGTTATTTCTTTTCTTTCTTTTTTTTTTTTGGTGGAACCAGGGATTGAACTCAGGCCCTTGTGCTTGCCAGGCAAGTGCTTATTCTACTGAGCTATCTTCCTGGCCCCAAAAATTGGTGGGTTTTTTTAGTACCAAAATTTTTGAGGGCTGGGGATACAGTTTAGCAGCATAAGCACCTGCCTGGCAAGTACAAGAGCCCAAGTTCGAGCCTGGGTACTGCAAAAGAAAAATAAGTTCATTATGCTTAGATAAAAGAGTAGAGCAAACATCGAGTGTGGTTTTGTCTTGTGATGATGGAGATAGAACCCAGGACATTCACCACTAGCCATTTATTTGTTTTTTGAGATAAGTTCTCACTGTGTAGTTCAGGATGGCCTCAAACACGCAGCAGTCTTTCTGCCTCAGCCACCCATCTGTTGGCATTACAGGCATGGCTCCAGTCGTTTTTTAAGATCTTACTAAGTTGACCAGGCTGGGCTGGAATTTGAGATCTTCCTGCTTCAGCTTCCTGCAATGCTGGAATAACATGTGTGCTGCTGCACCAGTCAAATACTTTCATAACGAAAATGTTACAGTATCTCATGTAAAATTACCTCAGGAAAAAATTTAAAATAAGGCCTATTAAATAATATCAGAAGAAAAAAAAAGATCAGAAGACCCCTACAGCAGTTGGCAGTATTTAAGTGTCTTCAAGAGAAGGGTTACGGGCCTGGGAGATGGCTCAGTAGAGTAAGTGCTTCCCTGGCAAGTGCAAGGGTCTGAGTTCAATCCCCAGTTCCACCAAAAAAAAAAAAAAAGAGAGAGAGAAGGGTTACTTAATGTGGTTCCACAGAGGATGGTGGGGTTCCTGGGTCCCTGGGGTTGTATGCCTATGAGGGCATTTTATTTTATTTTTTTTAAATTATTTATTTATTTATTTAGTGTGTGTGTGTGTGTGTGTGTGTGGCCAGCTCAGCCCACCAGGGGGCGGGGCTGGCTGGCATGTGGTGCTGGGGGATTGAACCGCGGTCCCTGTGCTTTGCTAAGCTTGTTCTAAGTAGGTGCTTTAGACCACTGAGCCATCTCACCAGCCCCACATTTTATTTTTTTAAACCAGTGGTAAAGGGGCCGGGGAGATAGCTCAGTACAATAAGGGCCTGAGTTCAATCCCCAGTTCCGCCAAGGGGAAAAAAAAAAAAAAAGCTATGGCAACGTTTGAGAAAGTAGAAGTGAAGAGGGTGGGAGAGAAACTGGCTCTGCAAAGCAGCTTGGGCCAAGTAAAGAGAAAAAGGAGAGAGCAAAGATAAAAGTACCAGCTAGGTGCATCTGGAAGAGCGTAGCTGCCCTGGAAAGTTATGGCAGCCCACCTGGAGTATCTTTTTTTTTTTTTTTCAACTTAACAGCATGGCTTTATTTCTTGTAATTTCGTCTTCATAACCTGGAGTATCTTAATTCTGGGTAGTTTCTCTCACCTGAAAGGGTTACAGGTATCCAGTTGAAGGCTGAGGGAGAGTTGCCCTGAGTTTGAGGCCAGCCTGGGCTATTTAGTGGAGCCCTGTCTCAATAAGAAAAAGATCTACTTGAAACATTGTGTTCAGTGCTCGTGAGTCCCCTCCTTTCCCGATCCATCAGTGTGTAATGCCTTGGAGCAGGGTTTCTCCATTTTGAATTTTCTCCTTTTGTACTTCTGCTCATACAATGCTGCATATAACCCTGTGTTCAGAAAGTCGGGAAAAGGCCTAAAGAGAATAAGAGATACATTTGATGACTGAAAAGAAACGTCCACCCAATCCCCCCCCCCCCCCGAACCCGGGATTGAACTCAGGCCCTTGTGCTTGCCAGGCAAGCACCACCTATTCCCTTTTAACAGACTAAATTACAACGGCTGACACGAAATGTACCTTAAAAAAATTATTGGGGCTGTGGGTTTAGCTCAACAGTAGAACACTAGCAAGCTGGAAAGCCCTGGGTTTGGTCCTCAGCACCAAAAAGAAAACGTAGGGGCCAGGGAGATGGCTCAGTGGAATAAGCATTTTCCTGGCAAGCGCAAGGTTGAGTTCAATCCCCGGTTCTGAAAAAGAAAAAATAAAACATAAACTTGAACTGAAAAAGTACTACTGTAGAGGACACGTGGCCATGAGTGCACCTCGGGGTCCTCCCCTTGCTTACGCGTCCCATCGTTTTTTGCTACTTCCTGGAGCAGTCCTGTGCTGCGAGCCTCTTTTTAAGGTGTATGATAAGCATCCAGTGACTACTGCTGCCCGGTGCCACCAATGGAAAGGCAGGCCTGAAAGATATGACTGTGTCCTCTTCCATCCAATCTGGCACCTTGTGATTTCTGGTTCTTATCCAAAATCAAAACCACAAAAGAGAAATGTTTTCAGTCAGTTCAGAGCATTGAAGCAGCCAGGACAGAACAACTAAAGGATACTTGACACTCAGGCAGGGGACTCCAGACCTGCTGCAGAACATGGCAGGAACCATGGAATACGTGTGTTTCAGTGTTTGCGTGAGAGCTGGAAGAGGCTCAATGGCTTTGTGTCTTTTACTTTAATGACTTTTTTAAAAATTAGTCCTGTGAGACAGGGTCTCATTGCATAGCCCGGGCTGGCTGGAACTCTCTGAAGTGATCTTCCTGCCTGAGCCTCTCCAGGCATGATTACAGACAGTGTACTCCCTCACGCCCAGCCAGAGCTCATAGGTGGGAGCTTGATATTTAGAATAAAGTACTGAAGGCTGGTTCAGCAGTGGTTGGAGACGTTGGGTAAAGTTCTAGCAGATCTGTACACTGCCCCAAAGAACAGTACTGGGCCTGCTGCTGGGCCGCGCATCTCTCTAGCCCTGATCCTCCTTGTTTGCTCCTAGGGGGGCTGTGCCTGCTCGGGGCCTATGCAGACAGTGATGATGAGGAGAGCGACGTTTCTGAGAAGCCGGTGCAGCCCGAGGAGACCAATGGGAACCCAGCAGCTGACATCGACAGCACCCTGGCCAGCTTCCTGGCGGTGAGTGCTTCAGGCCCAGCTGAGATCCCAGGGGTCAGAGCGCTTGTTGGTCTCTGGCTCTGTTCTGCCTGTGTTCATGTCTCCACTGAGTTCTTCCTGGAAAGCTTAGGGAAGAAGGGGGCGGAGACTTGGGGTAGCTGGGTCGGGCTTTGGGTTCAGTTTGCTTTGTGCGGTGCTGGGGTGGTTCCCAGGGCCTCTTGCCCTGTGGACAAGCAGTCAGCCGCTGCCCCATATTCTCAATGCTGAAAAACAGTTGTGCTTGGAATATTGCAAAATTGAGCATAAACGATTGCGGACTCCTTAGTGTCTGACTCCTAGTCACCAGCATGTGTCACCATCCCTGCTGCAGGAGATTGATGCCATCACGGCGCCTCAGCCCTCAGCACCTGTAGGTGCTTCGGCCCCGCCTCCAACTCCACCTCGGCCAGAACCCAAGGAAGCGGCCACATCTACCCCCAGCTCCGCTGTGTCCAATGGCACCAGTGCATCCACAGCTCCAGAGTGGCAGTACGACACACAGTGCTCCCTGGCAGGAGGTTAGCCCCAGCTTGGGAGTCCTCAGGGAAGTTCCTGCAGCCCAGGCTCAAAGATTGGAGTTCAGGGGATTATTGGGGGAAGGGGAGAGCACTTGGGAATTATAGGGTGTAAATTGTATGTTTTGAAAATAATTTGGGCTGGTGAGATGGCTCAGTGGTCTAAAGCACCTACTTAGAACAAGCTTAGCAAAGCACAAGGGACCACAGTTCAATCCCCCAGCACCACATGCCAGCCAGCCCCGTCCCCTGGTGGGCTGAGCTGGCCACACACACACACACACACACACACAAATAAATAAATATTTTTTAAAAAACCACACACACAAAAAAGAAAATAATTACTGGAGACTGGGCATGGTGGCATGTGCCTGTAATCCCAGCTCTTGGGAGGCTGTAAACAGGCGGATCACTATGAGTTTGATCTAGTAGTGAGACCCTGAACACCTTGTAGACCCCTAAAAAAAAAAATTGCTTGTCTAACTACTTGAAGATTATGCTAGATGAGGGGGGAAAGCCATTACTTAAAAAAAAAAAAAAAAAATCATTTGAGGATTCAGAATGTTTTTGGACCAACAAACTTTTTTTTTTTTTTTTTTTGCGGTACTGGGGATTGAACTCAGGATCTTGCGCTTATCAGGCAAGCACTTATTCTGCTGAGCCATCTTTCCAGCCCACCTGTCTCCCCATTCCCCCAAAAACTTTTCTGTTTCGTTTTTGCTACTGGGGATTGAACTCAGGGCCTTACGCATGGTAGCCAAGTGCTCTTGTACAGAACCATCCCAGCCTGCAAACTTTCTTTTCCCCGAGTGCAGCAGTGGCTGCACGTATGAAGGCCCTCAAATTGGAACGGGCATATGTTGCCCCGAGCTGGGCAGCAGTGTCAGATACTTCTGCTGGTCACAGTGCAGGCTGTGAGATTGGGGAGAGGAGGCTGCTAATCCCTCCAGGTAGGATTTGTAGCCCTAAAGTTTGCAGCAGTGACAGGTTGGAGATGCCGGGCCGTGGCACACCTGAATGCAGTTCAGATCATGTGTTCTGTGCTTTTCACAATCGTTTCTAATCTCACAGTGGGAATCGAGATGGGAGACTGGCAGGAAGTGTGGGACGAGAACACCGGCTGCTACTACTACTGGAACACACAGAGCAATGAGGTCACCTGGGAGCTGCCCCCCTACCTTGCCACCCAGGTCCAGGGGCTGCAGCATTACCAGCCCGGGTGAGTGGTCAAGGGAGGGGCTGGTGAGGCCGTCGGTCTTTCGTGTCGATGACCTTTGCCTTCAGTTTCTCTTACCAGATTTATTTTCCAGTTCTGGAACAGGTGCTGAAGCTGGTTTTATAGTAAATGCCGATGCATATGTGAAGGAGAAAGCAGTTCCCGTTTCCAGTAGTAAAAGTGGACCAGTCCCAGCCAAACGAGAAGTTAAAAAGGTTAGTGTCATGAGTCATCTGCTCCCGTGCACTGAAGGTGACACGGTTCTGTTTCACAGCTTGATGTATTTAGTTGTGCTCCTGAATTCCCAGCTGGTGCAGCTGCTGGGGCTTCCTGGGCCAAACAGTGGAGGCTCAGCCCACGAGGCAGGAGCTCTGGGGTCCTTGGCACCGCTTCTGACAACCATACTGCTGTCCCGGGCTCCGCTAGGGTTCACTGAAATTTGAGGGTCGGTTACCCTAAGGATTGAAAAATACAGAGTGTCCCTGCCCAGAGTGCCTGGGACATGTGTTAACAAACAGAGGAAGTTGTCCTGGAGGTGGGAGGGCATATACATCAGCAGAGCCTTCGTGGTGTGGGCTGAGTCTTAAGTACAGTTTGTTTCAGTTCCACCTATACCTTACACGGACACTGACAGCTTGAGGGTGATCGTACCACACATTTGTACTGTCTTTTTTTTTTTTTTTTTCTCTCCTTTTTTTGTTTGGTTTATGTCCCTGCAGTGTCTTCAAGGTTTATTCCTGTTGTAGTGGGTATCAGAACCACATTCTTTTCTGTTCCTGAACAATATTCACCATCCTATTTTTATTTATTTTTGGCGGAACCAAGGATTGAACTCAGGTCCTTGTGCTTGTCAGGCAAGCACCTACTCTACTGAGCCATCTCTCTGGCCCCGAGGTGAATTTTTTTGTGACTGGGTTTTGATAGTCCATGCTTGGATTTGCGCTCCAACTCCTCCCACCTCAGCCTCTTGAATGCTAGGATTATAGGTATGTGCCAGGACACCTAGCCAGTGGATCTGCATTTTTTTATTTTCATGACACTAAGGTTTAAATCTAGGGACATGGGGCTGGGGAGATGGCTCAGTGGAATAAGCGCTTCCCTGGCAAGTGCAAGGGCCTGAGTTCAATCCCCAGTTCCGCAAAAAATAAATAAATAAATTTAGGGACTTTACACTGAGCTACATCCTTAATCCCCTTTATTATTGTTGTTGTTGTTGTTATTATTATTATTTTATTTTGAAACAGGGTCTCGCTAAGTACTTATTGCCCGGGGTAGGCTAGAACTTGCAGTCATCCTGCCTCAGCTTCCTGGAGGGCTAGGGTTATAGGCATGCACCGCCATGCTTGCCTGTGTCTCTGACTGAGTTCTTGCTCAAAGTACTCAGGTTCCAGAGCATTCCAGGGTTTCAGGTTAGGGTTGCTTGACCTACACTAGTGATGGTGGACCTTTTAGAGCTTCAGTGACACAAGCAGCCTGCTATGGCACATATGCCATACTTAGGCACCACTGCCCTGTACTAAAGACGCCTGAGTGCATCTGTATCCTTGGCACAGGGTACAGAAAGGAAGTTATAACCTGTAGACAGGGAGTGTGCTAAAGAATTTATCTCAAATTTAAAGAGGATGAGTTTTGTATCTTTTTTTTTTTTTTTTTTTTTTTTTTTTGACAAAGTCTCATTTTATAGCCCTGCTGGCCTCAGACTAGTGGCATTCCTCCTGTCTCTTTCCTCAGCTTCCCAAGTGCCTCTCACAGTGAGGCCTGTGTCACCATGCCCTGCCATTTTTGGGGGGAGATATGGTTTTTGGGGGGCTTTGGCAGTGCCAGGGATTGAGTCCAGGGCCTTTGCCCCAAGTTTATGTACAGTCTTGCCCCTCAACATGGTTTTGTTCTATTACATGGTGGCACTTGAATTTTGGAACTCCAGTCATCCTGCCCCATCCTTCAGAGTGCTGGGGTGTCAGGTGCATCACCCCCCTGGCTCCAGCCACTGTCTCTCTGCCATGCCAGTGTTGTGTGTCACGGTGCACATGCACTACCCGATACTGAGAACACAGTGAGCGTGGTCACCCCGTGACTCCCACACTGAGCCCACTGCTTTCCCACAGGAGGTGAATGAGGGTGTTCAGGCACTCTCTAACAGTGAGGAGGAGAGGAAAGGAGTGGCAGCCGCTCTGCTGGCTCCTCTGTTGCCAGAGGGAGTCAAGGAGGAAGAAGAGCGCTGGAGGAGAAAAGTGATCTGTAAAGAGGAGGCGCCTCCTGCAGAGGTGAGGGAGCCAAGCACCGGCCCAGAGGAAGCTGCAGCCCCAGGGAAGCCACCAGAAGGCCTGCTGGATGGCACTGAGGAGCCTGTCCAGGATGACCTGTGCAGCGTGGTGCAGTCTGGAGAGAGTGAGGAGGAGGAGGAGGAGGAGGAGGAGGAGCAGGACACCCTGGAGCTGGAGCTCGTCTTGGAGAGGAAAAAGGTGAGTGCTTCCCTTCTGCACGCTTGGGCCCCTCACCCAGAGCTGGGCAGCTCGGCCTCCCTGGAGCCGGCTGGGCGGGGATCCACTTCTGCCGCCTTTTGGGCCGTGGTAAGCTTCCGGGTGGCAGCCAGTGTACGTGTGTGCCTCCAAAAAAACTATATTCTGCCTTTTCCCTTTGGGGCAGCTTTGCTACCATCTTCGGAAGTCTAGTATGAAGTGAAGTTTGTTTTCTGTGTTTTGGGCTGTGCTGGGGATTGAGCCCAGGGTCTGGTGCCTGCCAGTTAATAACTATGACTGAGCTGCTTCTCCCACTAGCATTTTTCAAATTTAATTTTGTTTTTTGTCTTTTTTGGTTCAGGGACTCACTCTGCAGTGCAGGCTGGCCTTGAATTGACTTTGTAGCCCAAGCTGGCTTCAAACTCGGCAATCTTCTCTCAGCCTCCCCAGTACTAGGATTACAGGCATGCACCACCTCACCCAGCTTGTTTTTTTGAGATGGGGTTTCACTGTGTCTTCAACCTGGCTGGAACTCACCGTGGGTCCAGGCTTGCGTTGAATTCATGGTGATCCTCCTGCCTTAGCTTCCTGAGTGCTGAGAAATCGGCTTTTCTGGCTCTAGTGGTGGCCACAGTGGCAGGTGTGCTTCCTGGTCCCAGAGGACCCCACTCTTAAGAACCTGGCCCGGGCTCTCGTGCCGCTGTCACGGATGTGTTCATGCTGAGAAGCAGTGAGCAGTGCAACAGTGTCAGTAACAACATGGGGCTTTCTACATCTTTCAGGCAGAGCTGAGAGCCTTGGAGGAAGGAGATGGTAGCGTGTCAGGGTCAAGTCCCCGTTCTGACGTCAGCCAGCCGGCCTCTCAGGACGGGATGCGCAGATTGATGTCTAAGCGAGGGAAATGGAAGATGTTCGTTCGCGCCACCAGTCCAGAGTCCACCAGCCGGAGTTCCAGCAAAACCGGACGGGAGACCCCCGAGAACGGAGAAAGTGGTACGTTAGATGCGTCACACCAAGGCCTGGCTACTGCCAGGCAGGCGGGGCAATACCTGGGTCCTCAGGCAGGAGGTGCCCCACCAGGACAAAAGGTCCGCTGGGGTCCCTCCAGGGCCAGCTCCCAGGTGCCGGCGGTGGAGGTGGGCGCACTCCCCACTCCATCCCATTTGTTCCCAGTGGGCAGGCAGAGGCTCGTGCAGCCTGGCCTCAAGAGCGCTCAGTAAAGCTTGTGTTCTCTTCTCCGCTTGGCCCTAAGTCTGTAGTGGAAAACTAGCAGCAAGATCTGAACACCAAACTTTTGGTAACATGTTTAGCAGGAGATACGAGATACTTTTATAGGTCCAATTAGTACCCCAAAACCCTAGATAATAAACAGGTACAGGCATCCTGCTTTGAATCTTTTTCAGTTAACAGTACCAGAGCATGTGACGTGAAATTCAAAAAGCCGCTGCTTGCTTCTCATTCCATGCTCCTTACCCCTGCTGCATGAGGGGAGGGGTGGCAGGATGGCATCAGAGTTTCAGTAATGTTACTAGGTTGGCATTGAAAAAACCATCCTCCTGCCTCAGCCTCTGGTGTAGCAGGAATTATGGGTGTGTGGTACCACACCACATCTGAGTGATGTAAAATTAATGTTGCTCTGATTTTAAAACTTTGTCCCTGCCCCATCCAACTTGCTGAAACCAAAGATAGAACCCAGGTCCTTCTCACTGACCCTCACCCCAACCACTCCCTTCCCTATAATTTGAGACATGGTCTCTCCAAGTTGCTCAGCTCCAAGGCTGAGCTTGAGCGCATAACACTCCTCCAGCCTGCCAAGTTCTGGGTTGGCAGCTGTGCGCCACCATACCTGGCTGGAACTTTATCAGCTAAGAACAGGCAAAGGAAAGCACTTTTTTTTTTTTTTTTTTTTTTTGCGGAACTGGGGATTGAAATCAGGCCCTTGTGTTTGCCAGGGAAGCGCTTACTCCACTGAGCCATGACCCCGGCCCCCAGGCAAAGGAAAGCACTGTTTTTCCTTCTTTGCTGTTCTTGGTGTTAGATGTTTTTGGTTTAATCTCATGTCTGGTTGGAGGGGTTGTGTTTTACGTTGAGTGATCATACTCATCGTTGGGGCTTGTACTTGTACGTGGCGCGTCACACTGCTGCTTTTTCCCAATTTCCCACTTCCACCCCTGTTCCCCTCCTTATTTATAAAAACTTTGTTTCCATGTTTTTCCTCTGCTTGCCCAGTTCTTTCCTCCTCCCCCTTGCTTTGTTTTTTGAAACAGGGTCTTGTTATATAATTAATGTTGTATTTTCTTTTGCAGCAGTTGGTGCTGATAACTTAGAAAAAGTAGATGACAATTCAGATAAAGAGGCAGAGGTAGAAGAATCTTCAGAGAAGACAAAAGTGCAAATAGCACCTAAAGTAGAAGATGACCAAGATTTGAAAGTATGTACACTACTGACTATAACTTGGGTGGGGTTTTATGTTTTGTTTTTGTACCAGTGATCAAACTCTGGACCTTGCACTTGTCAGGCAGGCACTTATGCCACTGAGCTATATCCTCAGGTGTGACAAACATTTTTTTTTTTTTTTAATTGTAGGGAAGGGTCTACAGGGTGTTCAGGGTCTCACTACTAGATCAGACTCGTGATCCACCTATTTACAGCCTCCCAAGAGCTGGGATTACACAGGCGCCACCATGTCCAGTCTCAATTGCTGCCTCAAGGGGGCCTGATAGTTAGCTCAGTTGTTTAAGCGCCTGCTCATGCAAATGCAGTCAGGCGCAGGATCCCAGGTTCAAACCCCACCCCCACCTGCTTTACCAGACCCACCCTTAAGTCAGGCTGAGCCAGCCCCCCCTCCAAAAAAAAGCAAAATCCTTTTTTTTTTAAATTAATTTATTTATTTTGTGTGTGTGTGACCAGCTCAGCCCACCAGGGGGCGGGGCTGGCTGGCATGTGGTGCTGGGGGATTGAACCATGGTCCCTGTGCTTTGCTTAAGCTTAGCTTGTTCTAAGTGGGTGCTTTAGACCACTGAGCCATCTCACCAGCCCGCAAAATCCTTCTTAATCACTGTCTCAGCAAACCTTGGGGGTGGGACCAGCAGATGCTTTAATCCGCTGAGCTATTTGGCCAGCCCCAAACTTTTTTTTTTTTTTTTTAATTTATTTATTTTAGAGCCAACCATTAAATTACTTTCCATTAAGTCCGGACATGGTGGTGTGCACCCATAATCCCAGCACTAGGGAGGTGGAAAACAGGAGGATCACTACAAGTTCTAGCTGTAGTGAGACCCTGCACCAAAAAAAAAAAAAACCCTTCCATTAACAAGTAATAAATGTACTGTGTCTGAGCTTAAGTCTAAATTGAAAGCCTGTTTTTCCTGTTAAGTGAAGGATTCCTGTTTAAGGTTGAAATAAGGATTTACAGGACCTGCTTGATGCTGAGAAAGAAAATAGTGCTTTTCTGTGTTTGCTGACCTTTGCTTTCCTGCATTAGTTTCAGATAGGAGAACTGGCGAACACCCTGACAAGCAAATTCGAGTTCCTTGGCATTAGTAGGCAGTCCATCTCCAACTTCCACGTGCTGCTCCTGCAGACTGAGGTGAGCTCTGTTGCGGGGTGCAGGAGCACTGTGTGTTAGCAGTCCGCCCTGCTGACTTCTAGTGTGTTTTTTTTTTTAATTTTTCTTGTTTAAGGCTGGCCTCATATTTGGCCTTTTGGGTAAGATCAAGTGTAATAAATGATTTTTTTTTTTTTTTTTTTTTTTTTTTTTGGTCAGAACTGAGGACTGAACTCAGGCCCTTGCACTTGCCAGGGAAGTGCTTATTCTACTGAACCATCTCCATGGCCTAAAATATTTTTTTTTTAAAGAATTATTTATTTATTCACTCATTCATTCATTTATTTTGTGTGTGTGGCCAGCTCAGCCCACCAGGGGGCAGGGCTGGCTGGCATGTGGTGTGCTGGGGGATTGAACTGCAGTCCCTGTGCTTTGCTTAGCTTAGCTTGTTCTAAGTAGGTGCTTTAGACCACTGAGCCATCTCACCAGCCCCTGAAATATTTTTTAAAAAAGAAATTTCCTTTCCATGCCACTTGAAGAAGGGAAATTATTTGGGCAGGGGGGAATTACTATTTTTTTTTTCTTTCGGTGCCAGGGATCAAACTCAGGAGCTTGCATCTGCCAGGCAGGCCTTTATGCCACTGAGCTATCTCCCTGCACCCACTGGAATTACCATTTTAAACAATACTCAAGTTCATTAAGCAAAAATGAGTTAGAATTTTTTTTTTTTGTTATAAAGTGTGTAACTTTTATCAGCTTCAATGTTTATTTTGTTGCCAAATTTTGTGTATAATTGAACTTTCAGATCTGCTAACACCTGCTAAATTGATTTTACTCTGAAGGCTAAGACATCAGTTTCTTCTTGAAATTTTTCTTTGTTGCTTCAAACATTTCTTGTGTTCCATTCCTGACATCATCACTGAAGTTACGAGGTGCCATTGCAAAGTCACCACCTGCGCCTGTTGTGACAAACACCTTTTTTTTTTTAATTGAGAAATATGAATGAGACAGTTTCAAAGCTGATTAATAGGACAGTTTCGACAATCAATACATTGTACATTGTTATCTTCTTAGTGGTTATCCACAGTACAAGAAGCAGACAGGATATCCTGTCCAAACACTATTAGTACACTTCTTTCTTCTCATTGAATTAAGCGAAAGTAGCTGTATATCTATCCTAACTATTTTGTGTATATAAATACAAACTGATCTTTCCTTTGTATCCCCTTTTTTTTGTTTAGTCCTGTCAGAGGTGAATATTCTATTGGCATCTAAGTACTACAGGTTTTTGAATTCAGCTAAACAATCCAATACTGTCTAGTAGTCTATATTAGTGGGTTATCCTCAGAACTTATTGACTTGAGCCTTTTACAGCTCATCATATTAATATGGCTTTACTTTATATACCTCATTTTTATACTTTTCTGCTGGAAACACCTTCTAAAGCTTAAAGTTTCTTTTTTTACTTCTATTTCTTCTGTTAGCTCTGTGATTCTACTCATATTCCATACAAAGTTGTATGCAACCCCCAGCTCAGCCCATTCATTGGTTATTTATTATTTATAGTGGAGCCTGGGATTGAACATGGACCTTTGTATCCCCAGCCCTTGTTGGGGAGGGAGCATTTGAGACCGTCTCACTTGTATTCTAGGGTGGTCTTTGATTTTATAGGAATCTTGACTCAGCATCCGGAGTACTGGAAATAGAAGTGTGTGCCACAGCACTAGTGCCAGCTCTTTACGATGTCTTGTAATTTTAGAGTCTCACTAGTTACACAGGCCCAGCTGAAACAGCAGTCCTTTTACTTCATTCTCCTAAGGTGCTAGGGTCATAGGCATGCACTGGTGTGTGTACTTGAAACTTTGTTTTTTTAACAGGAATGTAACACTACATCTAAAATGTTTAGTTTTGCTTATTAATAATAAATTGAACTGTCTGTCTGGGGAAGAACGCCCAAAAAAATAAGGAATAAAAATACTGGGCTGGCCTGTAATCCCAGCATTTGGGAGGCTGAAAACGGGAGGCTCACTGCAAGTCCAGTCTGTGTAGTGAGAGCCTGTAGACCTGTACTAAATACGTTTTTTTAAAAAAAAAAAAAAATACTGGGCTGATGCATTTTCTATTCGGAGGAGACAGAGCCATTACTCCCTCTGAGACTGAAGTATTCAGTATACAGATAGCCTGAGTAGTGTCATTTTTTCAGTGCAAATCCAGCATCTTTAAAACCAGGGTGCAGTGAGCGCACTGTGCAGTGTGCCGCCCGCGTGCACCTGTGTTGTGAGTTTGCCTGCTGGCAACACAGGGCTTGCAGCGTATGCGGAACAAATCCTTATTGTCTCTTGGCCCCTTCAAATTTGTAAAGGACCAACCTCCCTTTTCCTGTTACCTATCTTTTGTTTTAAGATTATTTCTCGTTGGTGTTTATCCTCTAGAATTCATGTGACCCTTAGGCTTGTGTGTCTGATTTCTTTTCTCTTTTTTCGGGGGAGGTGGTACAGTGCCAGCAGTTGAACTCAGGATCTTGTGCTTGCCAGACAGGTGCTGTGCCACTGAGCATCATCCCCAGCCCAGGCTTGTTTTCACCTGACATTAGGCCACCTGTTTCTATTGGAACACAGCCTTGCACCCACAAAACTTGGAGCAGGATTTCTTATTCTCTCTGATATCCTTTTGTCAGAGTAGAGCAGTATGGCCAAGTGGAAGCCCAAGTCACCCCTCCGTCTCCTGACAAACCTTTCCTTTCTGTCCTTGCTCTAGACTCGAATTGCAGACTGGCGGGAAGGGGCTCTTAATGGAAACTACCTTAAACGAAAGCTTCAGGACGCAGCAGAACAACTAAAACAGTATGAAATAAACGCCACTCCTAAAGGCTGGTCCTGCCACTGGGACAGGTACGCACTCTTCTCCCCCTCTCACCTTTCACCCTTGACACCTCAGACATGATTTGTGATCACCGCCATGCGACGCCCCGGCGGCCCGTGTGCAGACTGACGCTTAGCGGCCTGAGCCGCACGCACGCCCAGAGGCCGGGTCGGCCGCACAGCAGAGAAAGCCAAAGAGTGTTTACAGTGTGCCGTGTAATGGATTTTTTCCCAAGATCGACCAAGCCGGTGTTTCCTCTCCAGAGTGCACGGAGTAGGGCGGGCTTGGGGGCTAAGCGCATGCGAGAGCTCTGTGCGCTTTACAGGACCCCTGGAAGCACCTACTCCTGATTAACCTCGGCGAAGTTAAGGGAAGCTTCGGGCTGAAGGTGCGAATGAAGAGCAAGAGTACTGTCCTCTGCCAGCAGGTCAGATGAACACGTTTCTTTTTATATTTGGCTTTTCTTGATTTTTTTTTTTCGTTATTTGAAATCTTTGCTCTTTTATTTTTCAGCTCCCAGATCCTCTCCCTCTCTTTAGCTTTCACTGTGTTTGATATCAAGAATATGAACTGTGAATTCCACGGTCCAAGAGGGGAAGAGTCACCTTTCACAACCCGCGCTGTTCTCTTCTCTGGAAGGGAAACTAGTGTTCTAGGCGATTGAGTCCCTCCATTAATGAAACTCGGCGCCCTGTTACACATTGGCAAAAAACAAAAAGAGAGATGTTGTCAGTCATGTGTTGGAGCGAGGGCGCAGGGCTGTATTCACAGAGCTGCTGGCAGTGCAAATAGCTTTGAATTCTCCTTGGTTCTCCCTCCTCAGTGGTCAAAGCTCTTTGTCGCCTTTGTGAATAGCAGTCCGTAAGAGGAGGTTCGTCCCTGTGAGCACAGACTGCTGCCCGGGGACAGGACCGATGCACGTGTTCCTGTAGGGGAGTAGGCTTTAAAACTGCATTTTCTTTCTTGTAATTTAGGGATCATAGGCGGTATTTCTATGTAAACGAGCAGTCGGGCGAGTCTCAGTGGGAGTTTCCAGATGGTGAGGAGGAGGAGGAGGAAGGCCATGCTCGAGAGCGGAAAGACGAGACTCTGCCTAAGCCCAGCTTGAAGGACAGACCTGGCGCTGCGTCGAGCTCCACAGAGTCCTCGGAGAATCCCGCAGGTGAGATGGGTTACTCTGCGTCGAGGATAACAGTGAGTTTAGAAAAGTCACTAATGTACCATGAAACACAAGGGCTTGTGTTGTGACATGAACTGAACTTGAAGTGAAGTGAGCTAAAACCATGGGAGTTTCCCGGAAATGAAGGCAGTGGCGGGTTTGGAACTCAGTGTAACGTCCGTCAGCCTGGAACAAGATGCACTGAGTGTCCACCGGCCTTGGGGAAGACTGCAAGCTCCAGCCCACTTACGTGGTGCCAGCGGGTCTCAAAATACAAAAGGCCTGGGAGTGTGGCTCAGCGTGAAGACCCTGGGCTCAGTCCCTAGTATCTCAATAAAACGAAAGATTCCATGTAAGAAACAGTCAACGGTACCTCTGTTAAGTACAAGTTTGTTTATATAGCTGGTAACTATAATGCACAAAAGAAATTTTAAAAAATAATACACATTTTTAAAAGACAAGCTTCCTATAATTACATCGCAGAGCTATGGGTCTCCACGAGTAACGGCAGTCATGGAAGGACTGGGTCTCTGAACAGTCTGGTGGCTGGCAGAGCTGGCAGTATCTGAGATCCTCACTGTTTGTTGCCGTTACCACCGCGTTGCCCAGCTGCATCTGTCCTTGTCCCTGACAAGTGAGAATGACAGAAGAAATGCTGCAGGCTAGTACCATCCTGTTTTCAGAAGAGTAAGATAATTGCTCAATGAAAAAGTTGCCAGGCTAGGGGTCTACCTCGGCGGCACAGCGCCTGCCTGGCAAGTGCGAGCACCTGGGTTCAGTTCCAGGTACCAAAAACAAAGTTGCCAGTGTTATCTATCACTTTCCTCATCGCTGGAACCAAATACCTGGCCCCTCGGCTTAGATGAACAGAAGTTAATTTTGGCTCCAAGGAAAGGGACTGGTGGATCTAGTTGGAGAAAAGCTGCTCTGTTCCTGGTGGCTTCTGGGAAGCCAAGAACCAAGAGGCACCTTGGAGGGAGATGAACACTTTGGTGACCAGATCCTGTCGTCCAGGAGCTAGTTGTCTCACCCACTGCCTGTGAGCGGGCTGGCTGGAAACTGTCTCTGAGTGCTAACAGCATGCAGGCCTGGGACCACTGCATTTAAGCTACTCCCTGAGTTCAGCTCGCTGTGCATTTGTAACAAGAGACTTTCAGAGTTCTTCAGTCACTATGAGGGTCTAATGAGCTCTTCAGAAGAGCCAAAGCCGCATTGCTTCCTCATAAAAGAAACTACATTTGTCCTAAGTCCATCGGACTTGGAATGGCAAAAGCAGTGAATGGACTGACTGACAACCCTCTGAGCTAAAAACACATGGTAAAGTGGCAGAAGGCAAGAGTCTGGAGTGGCTCCTGCAGCAATAGCCCCGAAAATACAGCAGTGGCACGTTGGTGGGTAAATGGACGGTAAAGAGCTGAGTCTCCGTCTTAGCCCTGCTGGAGCCATCGCTAGGAAGACCGGGCTGCTGGGCCCAGGAGCAGAGCTGTGGTCATGCAGCAGGCAACACCTGTGGTGCTGCCTGCCCTCCGGGACCAGGTGCCTTAAGCAGCCTGGATGCCACGGTCGGAAGCCCTGCACCCCCAGCCAGGTTCAGAAGGGAGAGGAAGGGGGGCTTGAATCAGTTCCACTTGAGCAGTGTTTTCTGGCGCGCAAGCATCTTTCTTGCCTTTTGCCTCCTGTTTCTCTGGTATCCTTCACCCTGTCCACTGCCTTCAGTCCTGCTTCCATGTGGCTCTGTGCTCCTGACTGCTTGCTGCCCATGTTGCTTTCTGTGTGTTACTGCAGCTACAGAGAATGCCTCAGAGTTGAGTCTTCAGCTCTGTTGCTATGCACATGGGCGGTAGAGAGTGGAGAGAGCTCTTGGCCACATTCAGCTGATTAAAACAAAAAAATGGGGCTGGCAAGGTAGCTAAGCAGTCTAAAGTGCCTGTTTGGGCAAGTGCAGGGACTGCAGTTCAATCCCCAGCACTACAGGGCAGGCTGAGCCGACCATAAACAAAAAAGAGAAAGAAAAAAAAATTGTGTTGCAGGAAAAATAAGTAAACTGGCATTTATTTTCAAATCTCTGTTGAGCATCCAGAACATGCTAAGCTTTGTCTAAATGAAATCCAAGTGGGCCGGGCCTGGTGGCACTCACCTGTAGCCAGAACTCTGGGAGGCTGAGGTGGGAAGCTTGCAAGGTAGAGCACAGAGTAGGAAACTTAGCAAGCTGCTGTCTCTAAGGAAAAAATACGAGAAAGGGCTGAGGATAAAGCCTAGTACAAAAAGCCTGTGTTCAATACTGAGAGACATAAAATAAAGCTGGGAATATGGTGCGCTCCTGTGGTCCTAGGGTGAGGCCGAGTCACGGATCACAAATTCAGCCTGGATTCCACAGTGAGACCCTATGTCCAGAAACAAGTTTTGGGTTGGTTTTTTTTTTTTGTTTGTTTGTTTTTGTTTTTTGGTTTTTTTTAAACATATTTGGTACAGGGTCTCATTGCACATCTCAGCTCTGACTCGTAGTGATTCTCCTGTTTTCAGCCTCCCTATGCTGGGATTACAGCCGTGTGCCTCCACACCCAGACTCTGACCCAGCGCGTCCAGGGGCTGGGCCGCCACAGTATGCTGTACCAGGAATTGAGCCCCGGTCCCTGGGCTTGCCTAAGCAGGTGCTTACTCTGCTGAGCTGTCTTACCAGCCCAAAACTACAGTTATTTTTTGTTTTAAATATTTAGAGAGCACCTTCTTTCTGTAATCAAACTCATATAGATGAAATACAATTAATAAAGCATATAAACCCCAATACAAATGAAAAAATTGGTTAGTGTTTCCAGACCTAGTATGTTTGTTAGGAGTAGAAATATTAAGATTCCTGTGGTTGTAGCTTAGCGTACTCTCTGGGATCAATTCCCAGTACTTCAGAATGAAAAAAAAGAAAAGTACAGTCTAGGGTTTATCTCAGTTATGGTGGGCTTAAGTCCTAGCACCGTGATGGTGAAGCTTCGAGCTTTCCAGGATGTGAAGCCTGCTGTGGTACACACTCGCCACCACAGGCCTAGCACCACTAAAGGCGAAAAAGAAAAACTGCTGCGCTCTGAGGAGCAAAGGAAGTTTATAGTTCTCTTTGCTTTTTATGGAACGGCCCCAGACCGCAAACCCAGCCTCAATCCTGCTCGCTCAAACATTGTTACATGTGGAGCTCTTGTGTCCACAGACGTGTGTCCAGCAGCTCTTTCTTGCTGGCCTGTGTCATTTGGGTTACATGTAGCAGCCTTTTTTAACCTCTGTGGAAATAGTTCTATTTAAGTTGCTAAACTGGCCTCATTCAAAATAGTAACTTATCTTTGGGGGTAAATAAGTGAGGCTGCTTAAATATAAATTTAAATGCCTGGAAAAAAAAAATCTTGAGGGCCAGTAAGATAGCTCAGTGGACTGAGTGCCTGGCTAGGCATACTCAGGGACTGAGCTTCAATCCCAGGCTCCACAGACTGCCAGGCTGCCGAGTTGGCCACCACATCTGGGTGTGGTGGCACATACCTGTAATCCCAGCACTGGAGAGGCTGAAAACAGGAGGATCACTAGAGTTCAAGCTGTGTAGTGAGACCCTGTACCAAATACATTAAAAAAAAAACCTTGAAGTAAAAATTTGTCCCCTGAATCTGTTCTGTCTTAAGCTTAATCTCTAAAATCTTTCATTAGCACATGATAAAAATTGGTTTTGCGTTTTAATCTCTGATCTTGGCAGAATTAAATGTTTTCATCTGTTACGGCCAGGCAGATAGCTCAGTAGAATAAGCACCTGCCTGGCAAGTGCAAGGTCCTGAGTTCAATCCCCGGTACCGCAAAAAAAAAAAAAAAAGTTTTTGTCCCTGAAAGAAATGCCAGCTGAACTAAGTTTAGAAACGAGAGCTGGCCAGGTAGCTCAGCGGATTAAAGCGCCTGCTTAGGCAGATACAGGAGCCAGGGGTTCGATCCCTGGCCTGCCATGCCAACCCTGCCCCTGGGGTGCACTGAGACTAGGCCTGGTGGCACATGCCTGTAATCCCAGCACTTGGGAGGCTGAAAAACAGGAAGGATCACTACAAGTCTGATCTGTGTAGTGAGACCCTGTACTAAATACATTAAAGGAAAAAAAAAACCATCATTTTAATAGACTGGTTTGCAAACTAAGTATTCCTACTTTGTATTTAAGCAAAAGGAGACAATTATCAGTGCTTCAGATGCAACTTCAATGTTTTGAATGAACTTAGTTTGAGATTCAAGTATTCTTAAAAAGTACCCGTGTTTATGACTAAATTTATCAAGTGTGGTTTTCTGTTTACACAAGGTCTCATGCACCTCTGAGCTCTGGGTGGTCCCAGAGCATTGTAGTGACCTTGAGCCTGCCCTACACCCTTGGGTCCCTGGACCTGGCAACCTGGTACTGTCACCAGCGATGCCACAAGAGTGCTGCTGGTGGGGCTGGTGAGATGGCTCAGTGGTGTAGGGCACCTACTTAGAACAAGCTTAGCAAAGCACAGGGACCACAGTTCAATCCCCCAGCACCACATGCCAGCCAGCCCCGCCCCCTGGTGGACTGAGCTGGACACACACACACACACGCACACACACACAAATAAATAAATAAAATTTAAAAAAAAAGAGTGCTGCTGGGTGTGAAACCCCGCTGTTACCAACTCCACTCTGTGTATGTGGCTAGTCTGGTAAAAGGAAGTTTAATTTTTAGTTAATCTCCAACATTTATTACCTTAGTTTCTGATTTAACTTTTTCTTTTTTTTGAGCAGGGTCTGGCTGTGTAGCTGAGGTTGGCCTCGAACTCGCCACTATGCCCAGCTAATTCTGATGTAGTTTTGTTATGCTGTGATCAGATACAGGCTTCCTGGCCATACTCGGATTTTTCTGGAAGTTAGCATATCAAATACTATTACTTGGGGTTGGGGAGATGGCTCAGTAGGATAAGCGCTTGACTGGCAAATGCAAGGATCTGAGTTCAATCCCTGGTTCCACCAAAAAAAAAAAAAAAAATTATTACTTAATACCAAATATAAAAATGCAGTGGGTCATGTGAATTATTTGAGCTGGAAAACTGCGTTTATGCTTTCTGGTACCCAAGTGTTTGGGTGGCACTTTCTTTAGCAATGAAAGCTGGTGGTCTCGTGCAGAAACTGCGAACACGGTAAATCCTGTGGACGCTGCGTGTCATTCGTCCCATAAAGGCAAAGCTCCAGTAGAGGCCAGATGGCTTTCGCTCACTTGGGCCTTACCTTGGCAGACACTGTTGGCGCACGCAGTACTTGGGGGATTTCTTCATCACAGTCTTTTGTGAAACCTAGGCAGGCCTTAATGTCTGCCCTCTTCCTGCCTCAACCTCTTGGACTCCAGGATTTTTTTTTTTTTTTTTTAACTCCAGAGTTTGATGGGTGATAGCATCTGGAGCCCATGAAAGTGCAGTGTTTTGGTTTTGGTTTTGAGATTTCTCTCGGCTTTCTGATACTTCAGCAGGATGTCTTGGTACAAAAAAAAAGTTCTAAGTACTCAGGAGTCAGGTCTTGCCTGCCTGGGTTCCACTATCTTCAAAGTAAGGAGGGTGAGGGGCCAGGGAGATGGCTCAGTAGAAGAAGCGCTTCCCTGGCAAGTACAAGGGCCTGAATTCAATCCCCAGTTCTGCACCGCCCCCAACGAAAACAATGAGGGTGAGCTAGTTGGGGTTTTTTTGTTGTTGTTTCTTGGTTTTTTTGCAGAACCAGGGATTGAACTCAGGTCCTTGCTCTTGCCAGGGAAGCACTTATTCTACTGAGCCATCTCCCCGGCCGGCTAGATGATTTCTGATATCTCTTCTCCTCCTAAATTCTATGATTTTTAGGGAGAAAACCCATAGATTATGAGAGCTCCCTCCTGCCAGGAGGGGGAGGGAAAGCTACAAGTAAGTACATGTGCCCATCTCCTCTCCGCTGCTGCTGCTAGGGCTACTTTTTCAGCTGTGATGTCTTAACTCAGACTTGAGCTGCAGCAGTTCGAGGCCCTCTGCATCTTGAAGCAGATTTGGAAGTCAGCCTTTGCCTTGAAGATGTGTCCTCCTAAATTTCCCCCTTTGTTGCCCTATGACCCAAGGTACCCCTTGCAATGCTGGTGTTGCTGTGCTTTAGGAGGAAGGTGACCAACAAGGACAAGAGGAGTGGTACAGGGGGTGTGGGGTCAGTGTTGCAGGTGTGTGCGGCTCCCTCCCTTTGAAGCCAGCGAGGACCCCAGCCTAGTGTCTTCTCTTTTCATGTTGAAACTGAACATTTGAAATCGAAAGTCCTCATCTACAGATTCCGATGACCAAGTGTCTCAGTGAGTTAAAGCCATCATTTATTTGCCTTTGACCCAAGAGGGCTGGCCAAATAGCTTAGCGGATGAGGGGCCGGGGGTTCAACCCCCAGGCCTGCTATGCCAGCCCTACCCCCAGGGCGTGCTGAGATGTGATTGAGACTGGGCGTGGTGGTGTGCGCCTGTAATCTCAGCTCTTGGGAGGCCGTAAACAGGCGGATCACTATGAGTCCCATCTAGTAGTGAGACCCTGAACATCCTGTAGGCCCTTCCCTAAAAAATACAATTAATAAATCAATAAGTAAATTAATTTTGACCCAAAAGCAGGATGTCTTTAACCCTGCCGGGTATCATGGTAGCTCTAAGGTGTGTCCTTACCCTTGGCACAGAAGTCCACTGGGGGTCAAGCCATTTCCTGGGGTCCTGTCCCCACTGTCCGAAGCCACGCCTGCCACCCTACTTGGCCTGGCAGCCGTGGAGCCAGGCTCGCTGCTTCCCTGACTCCTCTCTGTTTTCATAGGTTCCCTTTGCAAAGAGTCATTTTCTGCTCAAGTGTCCTCTTCGTCACTCATGCCACTGACTCCGTTCTGGACCCTCCTTCAGTCCAACGTGCCTGTGCTCCAGCCACCACTGCCGCTGGAGATGCCGCCGCCCCCACCACCACCTCCAGAGTCCCCTCCGCCGCCACCGCCACCGCCACCCCCGCCACCACCCCCGGTGGAAGATGGTGAGATCCAGGAGGTGGAGATGGAGGATGAAGGCAGTGAGGAGCCCCCTGCGCCCGGGACGGAGGAGGATACTCCTTTGAAACCGGCTGCGCAGGTCGCAGTTGTCACCAGCCAAGTAGGTGCCTTAGACCCTGGAGGGCGGTGGGTTCCCGGTTGTGACTGGCACCACAGTGACCAGGGCCAGCAGCCTGACTGCAGGGTACTGTTTCAGAGTGCTGTGGACATCACCACCTCCAGCTCTCCTTCCACTAAAGCAGTGAAGAGGAAAGCAGCAGAAATAAGCAGTGCAGTGGTTCAGAGGTCCGCCACCATCGGGAGCTCCCCAGTCATCTACAGCCAGCCCCCCGTAGCCAGCGGTGAGCATGCGCAGCATCAGTGCTGCCCCGGGGAGTGGGTGTGCTGCGCATTGGGTAGAGCAGTTTGGCTCTAACCGACTTGTTTTCTGTGTATCACACATATCGAGTGGTTTTGCATTTAAGTACCTTAATGCTAAGTTACTCAGCAATCATTATTTTGTTGCCAACAAGTACAGATTGTTTGGGGTTTTTGGAACAGTCTCACTGTGCAGCAGGCTGGGCCTCAGCCCCTTGGTGCTGTTCCTGCCCAAGCTTCCTGAGTGCTAGGATGACAGGCATGTGTCGCCACACCCAGGTTGGGCTGTGATTTTCAGATGTTTTGGCCTCCTTTTGTAAGCATTATGATCCTCACTAAGGTCCTTTTATCTTCTAGGTCTTGCCTTGGTTCTGTCACAAAGTCCTATTCACACTATCCCATACTCTGTTTTAGGTCCCCAGGCTGCAGGGATTGGGCACCAGTCTGTGTCCCTGGGCCACACAGCAGCAGGCTTGGGTCCCCAGGCCCGAGGATTGGGCCTGCAGTCCAGCTACCTGGGCCTCACAGCCACGCCGGCCATCCTGAGTTACACTGAGTGCTCTGTCCCCATGGCAGTAACTGCAGCCTCCCTGCAGCCAGTCCAGGCCCGCGCACCTGTGCCCACCACTGCTGTCATAGAGCCACCGCCACCACCACCACCTCCTCCTACACCACCACCGCCACCAGCTCCCAAAGTGACACCACAGGAAAAGAAGAAAGGAAAGAAAGATAAGGTGAGCCTTCTAAAAGCACTCTGAACCAGGTATGGTGGCACACACATGTCATCTCAGCACTCAGGAGGCAGAGGCCAGACGATCCTTGTGAGCTCAAGGCCAGCCTGAACTGCATAGTGAGACCCTGTCTCAAAAAGATAGAAATAGGGGCCAGGGAGATGGCTCAGTGGAATAAGCACTTGCCTAGCAAGCGCAAGGGCCTGAGTTCAATCCCCGGTTCCACCAAAAAAATAAAAATAAAATAAAAATTAAAAAAAGATAGAAATCAGGGAGATAGCTTAGCGGCCTCACAAGGGCAAGGTCCAGAATTCAATCCCAGGTACCAAATAAATAAATAAATAAATAAATAAATAAATAAATAAATAAAGCACTCTGAGGGCCAGCCAGATAGCTCAACAGATTAAAGCGCCTGCTTATATGCAGGTGCAGGAGTTGGGTTGGATCCTCATTGTGCCATGCTGGCCCCACCCCCCAGGGCACACTGAGACATCTTTTGAGACTGGGTGTGTTGGTGCCTGTAATCCCAGTGCTTAGGCGGCTGAAAACAGAATCACTATGAGTGTAGTCTGTGTAGTGAAACCCTGTAGATCTTGTACTAAATGCAAAAAAAAAAAAAAAAAAAGCAGTCTGCATTTTTTATTTTCAGACAGCGTCTTGCTAAGTTGCCCAGATTAGGCTCAAACTCAAGATTCTCCTGCCTCAGCCTCACAGGCTGCTGGGCCTCCAGACATGCCCCACCACACTCAGTTCTAACCATTTTTGTTTGTTTGTTTGTTTGTTTGTTTGTTTGTTTATTTATTTTTGGTGGAACTGGGGATTGAACTCAGACCCTTGCGCTTGCTGGGAAAGTGTTTATCCTACTGAGCCATCTCCCCGGCCCCAGTTCTAACCATTTTTAAAGCATGCAGTGATGCGGTGTAATAAGAGTACATTCACCGTTCTTTTCCACTGAAGAACACTATCCATTCAGCAGCCCTCCCTGTGCCCTCCTGCTGCTGGCTGCCTTCTCCACGCCTGCCTGGATTGCCCCTTGTGAATGCTGTCCGGAACTTGCAGGCATGGCTTCTCTTAGCGAAAGAAGGCTCCAGGAGGGCCAGTGAGATAGCTCAGCGGACTAAGCACTTACTTAGGTAAATGCGGAGGCCAGTTCAATCCCTAGCACTGCATGCCGTGCTGGCCCCGCCCCAGTTGCACTGAGCTGGCACTGAAGTCCGGGTGTGGTGGCGCACGCCTGTAATCCCAGCACCAGGGAGGCAGAAAACAGGAGGAGAGGAGGATCCCTGAGTCCAAGCTGCATAGTGAGACCCAGCACCAAAAACAAAGAAGCAGCTTGAGGTAGTGTGTGTCTCCTGCCCATTGGTGGCCCGTGTGGCAGCCCTGCCTCCCCACTGACAGCAAGGTCCTGCTGCCTGCCTTCAGGGGCAGCTGCCCGCTCCATTCACTGATCTCCAGGCTTCCAAGGGCACCCGACAACTCGAGATTCGCCTCTGCCTTTTCTTTAGTTTTTTTTTTTTTTTTTTTTTTTTTTTGTGTGTGTGTGTGTGTGTGTGTGTATATGTGTGGTACCAGGGTTCAAACTCAGAACTTTGCGCTTGCCAGGCAAGAATTTATTCCACTGAGCTACCTCCCCGGCCCCACTCTCGTCTTTCTGACTGTACTTCAGGCTGGCCTCTAAATCATAGTGATCCTTCGGCCTCAGCCTCGCAAGTGCTGAAATCACAGGCAGCACCTCCATGCCCGGCGAAGGTGCTCCTCTCTTTGTGGTGCTGGTCTAGTGAGTGTGCGGTGGTAGCTCACGGGGGCTTGTTTTCTGTTTCTCCAGCGAGTGTAGGATCTTGGGTGCCCACCCACTGCCCTGATCTGGGTCCCTGTGCTAGTAAGCAGCCGTCTCCTGTCCAGCCCTTCAGACAGTCCCCCCTGCTGCCCCGCCTCCAAACTTGCTATTCTCCTGCCTTAGCCTGATCATTTTTCTAGCTGGGGATCTTTTTATAGCTGAACTGTAAGAATTCAGTGTGTATTCATGGCGCAAGACCTTTGTGGCATGATTTCTAGCCACTTTTTCTCTGTGTAGTTTGTCTTTCTCCCTCCCTCCCTGGAACGAATGTATTATATTTTGATTTATTTTATTTTGCGGTACCAGGATTGAACTACAGACCTTGCACTTGCCAGGCAGGTACTTATGCTGCTGAGCTATCTCCCTAGTCCTATATTTTGAAATTTTTTGGTACTTGGGGCTAGACCCTGGGGTGTTTGCACATAAAGGCCTTTAAGTTTTTTAGACAGGGTCCTGCAAAGTTGCCAAACCTAGGCTTGAACTTAGGATTCCTCCTGCCTCATTCCCCCAGACTGCTGGTATTAAAGATATGTAGCACTGATTTCTTTATTTTTTGGTGCTGGAGCTCACTCTCAGGACCTTGTGCTTGCGTGGCAGGCACTTAAGCCACTGAGCTATCTGCCCAGCCTATGCCACATATTTAGAGGTTCAAGTTAATCTTTTCCCTGGTACTGCGCACACACACACACACACAAAAAAAAAAAAACCACTTTTTTTTTTTTTTCTTTTTGTGAATTACTTTTTTTTTTTCCAGAACCGGGGATTGAACTCAGACCCTTGGCTTGCCAAGGAAGTGCTTATTTTACTGAGCCATCTCCCCGGCCCCAGGGTTGTTGGATCTCTGCTAGTGGCTTTGCTGAATTTGTCAGTTGGCTAGCTCTAGCAGTGTTTTTTTCTTTTTTTTTGTTTTGGTACCAGGAATCAAACTTAGGACCTTACACTTGCCAGTGCCTATGCCACTGAGCTATCTCCCTGGCCCTCTAGCAGTATTTGTTTTGGCATTTCTATGTGTGTGACTTCTGGCACCTGCCTCCCCGCAGTCCCCTCAGCTGCCACAGCTCCTTTCTTGGCCACCAACTCGAGAATCTAGACTGCATCATAGTTCTCATCAGAGGGGCCAGTCAGAGTTATTATACACTTTTGTGTGTGTGTGTGTGTGTGTGTGTGTGTGTGTGTGTGTGTGTACAGAACCAGGGATTGAACCTAGGCCCTTGCTTGCCAGGCAAGCGCTTATTCTACTGAGCTGTCTGCCCAGCCCCACATGCTGTATTAATGCCTCTAACTATCAAGAATATTTGATGGGGGGCCGGGGAGATGGCTCAGTGGAATAAGCGCTTCCCTGGCAAGCGCAAGGGCCTGAGTTCAATCCCTGGTTCCAAAAAAAAAAGAAGAATATTTGATGGGCTGGTGAGATAGATAGCTCAGTGGACTAAAGTGCCTGCTTAGGCAAGCACAGGGACCTCAGTCTGATCCCTGGCACCACATGCTGCGCCAGCCCTGGTCTGAGCCAGCCAGAGTCCGGGTGATTAATCCCAGTGCTGAGGAGGCTGAAAGCAGGAGGATCACTGTGAATCCGAGCTGCATAGTGGGACCCTGCAATAAACAAATACATTTTTAAAAAAAAAAAACTAGAGTATTTGATGGCTGGGCATCATGGTGCATGCATGTAGTCCCACCACACAGGAATCAGAGGCAGGATGGATGATTGCTATGTGTTCAAAACCAGCCTTAGAGGCCGGGGAGATGGCTCAGTACAATAAGCACTTCTCTGGTAAGCGCAGGGGCCCGAGTTCAATCCCCAGTTCCGCCAAAAAAACAAAAAACAAACAAAATTTCACCTCCACTGCAGGCAAAGAAGAGTAAAACCAAAATGCCGTCTCTGGTGAAGAAGTGGCAGAGCATCCAGCGGGAGCTTGATGAGGAGGAGAACTCAAGCTCCAGTGAGGAGGACCGCGAGTCGACAGCCCAAAAGCGCATCGAGGAGTGGAAGCAGCAGCAGCTGGTCAGGTGAGGCCGCACGCGGGCTGCCTGTGAGTGGGCTCGGCTCCGGGCCCACGGCCGGTCACGACAGAGGGCTGCACCGGCCACCCGGGAAGCCGGGCTCCGTGAGCTTGCATGCAGTGACCTGTGTTGTTTCCACAGTGGCCTGGCAGAGAGAAACGCGAACTTTGAAGCCCTTCCTGAGGACTGGCGAGCAAGACTAAAGAGAAGGAAAATGACTCCAAACACATAGCTTAACTTTTTTTTTTTTTTTTAATGTTTTGTCTTCGGTTCAGAGTCCTAACCAGTTTTACTGTCGTCCAGTGAACTATAGACATCACAGGGAGCATGCACACTCGCTGGCCGCTACACAGTCCAGGGCAGAGTTGTCGCTCATGGCATGGCACTGTCTCGGTCTGGCCGAGGAGCGTGATGGGTGCCTGTGCCCGGCTACCTGTGCTGTCCCCCGGGTTCGTGGTGAGGGCCTGGCAGCTTGCGGAGACCTTGCCTGCCCGCTGAGCCGCTTGTCACCCTAGCCTGGCCCAGCATCTACTCCAGACCAAGTGCAATTAAGTAGCGGCTCTGCATCACCGTGCTGGACTTGGAGGCCTTCCTGCACCCACTGCCCGCAGTGCTGGGGCCTGGCGGACACTCCCTGCTGACTGCCCGCTCTGAACTGCGTCCTTTCTACACTAGGGGGCAGAGTGCTATCGCGGTACAGGCGGCAGCCGCTGAGGTGGTTCAGAGCCTCAGTTCTGAGAACCTGCCCACACATGGCCTGGCAGTGCTGTACCGAGAGCCACTGTGTCCACGTCCCCCTTCCCTGTCCAGCAAGGCGCCTCCCTCCCACGCGTGAATGTATTCTCCATAAAATTCCAGTATTTAAAAGGCAGTTTGCTGTTGTGTACTTTCTGTTGTATCACAATCAGGTAAAGTCACTTTAAACTGAAGAAAAAGCAAATTGTATTTTAAAGCTGTTTGTATTTCTCCAGTTTCTGACCTTGTAAATTTTGTATATATCCACTAATAAAGCTCTTTTTATACTTCTGCTTGGTTTTTTGTTTTGCTTTCTGTCTTTTTGAGACAGGGTGTCGCTGTGCAGTTCAGTCTGGGCTTGAGCTCACTTTGTAGCCCAGGCTGACCTCGAACTCAAAAGGACTGTCCTGCCTCTGTCCCCCCCAGTGCCAGGATTACAGGCATGTGCTTCTACACCCAGCTTGGTTATTTTTTAGTCTTCACTTTAGTTGTGTACCCAGGACTTATTTTCTGTAGATGGATGTTTGTGTTCTTTCTGTATTTGACCTATTAAGTCCTAGGAACAATGTGCTTGGTTGCCAGTTTGAAAAAGGAAAAGTGGCTTTACAGCTTTTAATAAAAGTAATACCAAAAAAAGTGATACAGGGCTGGTGAGATGGCTCGGTGGTCTGAAGCACCTACTTAGAACAAGCTTTAGCAAAAACCCAGGGACCACGGTTCGATCCCCCAGCACCACATGCCAGCCAGCCCGCCCCCTGGTGGGCTGAGCCGGCCGCGCACACACACACACACACACACACACAAATAAATAAATAAATAAAAACAAATTTGAAAATATTTAAAAAAAAAAAAAAAAGTAATACAAAGCTGAATATACTCGTAAAGTTAAGGGCAACAATAGTTTGGGTTCTACTCCAGTGTATTTCCTGTGCACGTGATTAAACTTTTTACCTATTCATCTCCTAAGGTGATGTGCTGGATTTTGCACAGAAAACTGACTTGTTTGCATAGAGTCAATTTCTGCATAGAGAGGCTGTTCCCTCAATGGAGGGGCTGTTAGCGTTTTTCTCTTTAACTGCGTGGCCTTCCGAAGCCACCACTCGGACCCAAAGTGATGCTGCGCTGCGACTTCTTTGCGGCGGGCGGGTTAGCTGTGAGTAGTCGTCTTCGTTCTCAGCAACGCAGGTGGCGCTTCCTTTTGGCAGGAGAGGGGAGGCCGCCCTGGTTCAGTGCCAGAAGGGACTGTAAGTGAGTCCCGGGCTTAGCTGGCTGGAAACACCCTTCGCCCTGCCCCCACCCCCACCCCGCTGCCCTCGGTTGCTAGGCAACGCAGGCTTCGGGCTAGGCTGCGGCTGAGTGAGCTGCCTGGCGTGGGGGCCTCAAGCTCGGTCTCACCCCGACTTCCGAAGCGGAACCTGACCTGCTGCTGCTCCGCGGTGCACTCGCTCGCCCACCGGGCCAGGTAACCCCGGCCCCTAAGTTTCCAGCCATGCAGCGACGACGCCTCAGCGTGTCCCCGCCCCGCTGCTTGTATTTGCTTTTATTTTCTGGGTGTCCTTGTGGCCCACATCCCAGAGAGTGGGGCAGAGACTCCCGGCAGGCTGGTACTGGGCCTTGAGCGCAGGTAGCTTCGACGCTACAGCTCAGCTGTTTAGTTCACTTTAGGTTTTTGGGTTTTTTTAAAAGTAAGAAAAAGTATTGGAAATAGGAATGAGGACTAGGAATAGCTCTTGAGAGACACGAAGGGTCCCGAGTAGGTTGTCCTTTAGTTTTTGATACAGGGTCTGGTTAATGTATCTCAGCCTGGCCTCCAACACTGTGTAGCCCTAGTCTGTGAGGTCTTCTTGCCTGTCTCCTGAGTGCCTTGGGCCTCGCTGGGAAGCCGCTCCATGCTGCGGTGGGGGCGCACGCTTGCAGACCCGAGCCACTCTGCCGGGCCTCCTTTCTTATGTTTTTCTTTTGACACGATCTCCCTAAATTGCCCAGGCTGAGGCTGAACTTCCAGCCTCAGCCTGCAACCCGCACGCGGGCGCCCCTTGGCAGCGGCAGGATCTTCCTTTCCTCTTTCCCCGGTTTGCAGCTTCTGCGTCCCTTTTGGAGCTTGGGCACCATGCGGAGGTAGCATGTTCCCAGCGTTGACGACGGAGCCCAAGCAGGTCGGTCCGCACCCGCCCAGCACCCCGCAGACAACCGCAGACCCTGGGTCCCCTGCGGACCCTGACCCGCGGAGAACAGCTCCCACTGCTCTCCCCTATGGAGTTGCAGAGTCCTGGGACACTGCCCGCTGACAGGTGTGCTCTGGGGACTTTCCTCCTGCAGCCCCTGCCCGACCCCTACGAGGACTTCATGCGCCGTCACCTGCAATATTACGGATACTTCCGAGGTAACACAGGCAGGCGGGGGAGGGCGTCCCGGAGTCACCGCTGTTGTTGCGCCGTTGCTTCCCTCATCTCTGCCCTTGAATTTACTATTTACAGCAATCTTCCTGCCTCAGACTCCAGGTTATTTTTGTTTACTTTCCAATTTGTTTTTTCTTTGGCGGAACCGGGAATTGAACTTAGACCCCCTTGATATTTTAGGGAAGGGTCTACAGGGTGTTCGGACTCATAGTGGTCACCTGTTTACAGCCTCCCAAGAGCTGGGATTACAGATGTGCTTCACCAAGCCCAGTCTCAATTGCCATCTCAGTGAGCCTCAGGGGCAGGGCTGGCATGGCAGTCCTGGGGAGGAAACCCCTGGCCCCTGTGCCTACTTGCAGGCGCTTTAATCCGCTGAGCTATTTGGACAGCCCTGTGCCTCCCCAGCCCATGTAGTTCTCTTTTGTAGTATTCTTTTGACACATTTTGCAGTTCAGGTTCTGGCTCTGTAGTTGAAGCTGGTTTTGCACTCACTATGTTGTCTAGGCTGGCCTCAACTTGGTGGTGCTCCTCCTGCCTCAGCCTCCCACATGCTGGGATAACAGGCCTGCACTATCAGGTGTGGCAATTACTTCATTTCCTAAATGATTTCAAGTCTGCTGAATGGCCAGTTTGATGGACGGTGCCGATGGCCCAGGACAGTGGCCGCCGGCTGCCCTGCACTTTCCCTTGGGTTTGGCTCCAGCCCTGGGTCTCCCGGCTGCACTGCGATGCTCCTCAGCTCCGTGCCTGCTTGCTCCTGTGGTTGTAAACTGGGGCCTTGGACTTATGCACCTTGGGGCAACAGGCTGTTTGGGACCTGGGGCCGGGTCCAGGCACTTTTAGCTTGGGCACCAACCTTGGTGTGGACACAGCACAGACGACACTACTGTTCCTAGTGCAGAGTGGTGGCCAGGCCAGTTCCACCTTCCAGCAGCGAGACCAGCAGAGCTCATGCCACGGAGAGAAGGAGCATGGGGCCTGCAAGGGCCTTCGAGAGGAGAAGCTGGAGCGTGAGTAGCTGGCCATCCACCTGCCTGCTGTGATGTCCCGGGAGGGGGCTGAGACGAAGACAGGCGTCGCTGGGAAGCCGCTCCATGCTGGGGGGGTGGCGCACGCTTGTGACCCCAGCCTTTGGGAAGCTGAGGCAGGAGGACCACTGTGAGGTCGAGGCCAACCTGGGCTCCATAGCAAGACCCTGCCTCAAAGCAAGCAAACAGAAGTTTTATGTACTTTTTTTTTTTTTTCTAAAATGCTGATGAGGGACGAGGAGATGACTCAGTAGAATAAGCGCTTCCCTTGCAAGTGCAAGAGCCTGAGTTCAATCCCGGGTTCCACCAAAATAAATAAATAAATAAATAAATTAAATAAAATGCTGATGATTCCCTCTCTGGGCACCCTGAACAGAAACGAAATAAAAAGACAGAGGAAGAGGGCCAGGGATATAGCTCAGTGGCAGAAGCACCTGCCTGGCAAACACAGGATCCTGAGTTCAATGCCTGGCACAAAAAAAAAAAAGACACAGGAAGAGCGGGGTGTAGTAACCAGGATTGCCACCCTAGTGACGTTGAGGGGACTCCAGTGCTCCCTCACCCCTACAAGGCACACTGGGTCTCTTGTGTAACCCTCTGTTCAAATGTCTTGGAATCATATAAAACAAAAAAACCAAACCTGACTTACTCTAAAGCTTTATATTTACACATTTAGTAGACTGCATTATGATTATTATGATTATTATTATGATTATTATTTGGCCACTGTGATTGCACAAGGGGCCTTTACTCTGAACTATATTCCCACCTTTTATATTTGTTAGTTCTGAGGCAGGGTCTCACTAAATCTAAGTTGCCCAGGCTGGACTTGAATTTGTAATCTTACTGCCTCAGCCTCCCGGTGTGCTGGGATGACGTAAGTATGCAGCTAGACTCGCATAATTTTATCCTCACATTTAAAAAAAAAATTGGGGGGATCTGGGGAGATGGCTCAGTAGAATAAG